GTAAGTAAAGAGGAATAAGTTGTTTAGAATGATTTGTATTAAAAACCACGGTAGGTTTCGCAGAGTGGCGAACACCGAGCCTGGTATAAAAAAAGTGGGAACGACGGAAAAAATCGGAATGCCTTAACAAAATGTATGCGTCTTAGAACGAAAACACATTAGCGTGGACTAGGCCTTAAGGTCCCTATTTTGCTAAAGGGAGACTGTAGGCGTCTTGGAAAACGTCTCTTTGTTTAGGTGACGCCTAATGGACCACACCCAAAATTTGCTCCTTAATTTTGTTGTTGTTTAATTTACAGTACCAAACGCTCCTCCGAGTAAGATTCAAGGATACATCCTAAACGCTACTAACATTTTGGTGCAGTGGGGAATTGTTCCTCTTCCTGATCAAAATGGCATTATACTGAGTTACACTGTTACCTATCAAGCGCTTCCTGATGGCAGTCCACGGAGAAAGGTAGTGAATACTCCGAAAACTGAAGCAAAACTTACAGGACTCAATCCAAACACCAACTACAGCATCACAGTGTTTGCGTCTACAGTCAAAGGAGATGGGAGCGTTAGTAGGCCTATCGTCGTTTTAACGGATCTAAATCGTAAGTTTACGTAAACACTCTCTTTCTGCTTCAATTCATTTTTAAAGTCATTTCCGATTAAGCTTTTCTGTCTTCTTCTCTCACAAACATCTTCGATATCGATCATAAAAATGGACGTTCGCTGCAAAACGTTACAACTGATAATTGTGATCGTTTTGCAAAGATTGTCATGTGACCATAAAATTAGACTCTGGATACAAATATTACATTTACGGATTCTGTATTTGTTGCCATAGTCTATCAGCATACGATTAGAATTTCGCTGCAAAACTTCTCGAATAATTTGGGATCCGATTGCAGCGATTCTCTGTTATCATAAAGTAAGACAGTCGCTACACAACAATTGAACGTTCTGAAGCGACTGTTTGCTATCAAGACAAATCTACAAATCTGGTCCTCAAATAAATATTGAGGGTCTTTGCCGTGAGACGAATCCAGATTTTAATGCTACGAAACTGCAATTGCAGTTCGTCTTCTGTCATGGGGATGGAATTTTACTGCAAAACGCCAGTATTTAGCGACTGTTGCAGTAACTTCCTGTTGTAGTAAACTTAGAAAATATGCTGCAAAACTTTCCAATAAAAATTGTAAACCTTTGCAGTCATTGTTTGTCAGCACAAGCTTGGACTTTCTCCGCAAAATTTCTAAGTATTTGTGCTGTGATTTTTTGTTCAACGTTTTGAGTAATTACCTAACAGTTTTGTTATTAAGAGCCTTTAGCCACAGGGTTGCCAAAGTGGCCGGAGCTGTAGTTTTCTATAAAGCGTTTTCGGGTTCCACAATGGGTCCAGAGTCTGGCCTAGCGAAAAGGTAAGAAATATGATGAAAAGGTGCGCATGTCAATTAAATACACGAAAACACGAGAAGGCCTAATTTGTTGATGGCCGGCAGGTTGTAAACGTTTCTAAACAACATCGGCGGTAGTGATTTGTTGACAAATCAGAAAGCCTGCTGTTTTATTGGAAGAGATATTGTGTTTTATTGTTCAACTTCTCTCAGTGAAGTACAAATAACGCCATAAACGAGTACAAATATCTCACGGTATTTGTACTCCAGAAGACCGGTTTGACCGGTTTTTTCGTCTTTCCATCGGAATTCGCTCTGCTCAGTTTTCCACCTTGGAATCCGTTTTAAGTAACCGAGAGACCATCATAAGCCTCACTATTATTTGTCATTCCATTTCTGTTTTCCTAGCAAATGTTTGAAAGATAGAACCTCGAAGCGGCGACGAAAAAGTTGAAAAAAAAAAAACTGATTTACTGGGTAACCAGTTTGACAAGTTTTCATTTCTGACCAATTAGCAACAGTGTTAATGAAAGTGCGCGAAAACTCGACTCACGGTAGTGCTGTGTCATGCATTCTCGTTATAAGTGGGCAAGCGTGCACATTTAGACTTAGTTCTATTTTATAATCCTTGAGTTGAATAATAATTAAATCTCTTTTTGGCGGTTTAGTGGGTAGACAAATCGTGGGATATGCGCGTCTCTTTTATTTTTACTCGCCCTACGGACAATAATCCATTACTGCTGCCATGTCGGTGGTTTCGAAGAAAATATTTAATTGTATTGACCATTAACATGGCCACCTTGTCAAGGGATGGAAAACCAAGAATTGATCACACTGACAAAAACTACACAAAGGTCGGCGATTTAAGAACACTTCCCTTTTTTCAGTTAATTACATAAGTTTCAGTTTCTTTTTTCTCTTTCTTCTTTTCCTCAGGAGGATGCAACATTTCTCAGCCTTGACTTAATATGTCAAATATGAGAAGCGGTGTTTCATCCGATATCCAACCGCCGAGAAGTGATATGGAGGTAATATGTCACACACGAGAAGAGGTGTTCTGACATCTAACATCCATTTTTTTTCTTTTCTTTTCTCTTTTCTTTTTTTCTTCTTTACACCGACTTCTAGGGGTCTAAATATCATATAAAACATTAAGAGGAGTGTTTGATGAAGCCTTTCGCAAAAGATCAATAATTCTTGAAGAAGTTCAAAGGCAAGTTTGCAGAACTTTTATGAGGTAATTATGATCCGAAATCCAGTAGTGATTTCCCGTGTTTGTCTTCATCAATGGTTAATAAGTTTGAGAAAACTTTTGCAATCCATTTCAGGCTAATCAACATGTTACTCAGTGCGTTAGAATCTCCAAGCAGTCAAGAACAAACTAAAATGAGGCAGGGTTCCACTGCACAGTGGAACCCTGCCTTACGACCACCCCGTTTATGAGACCACCTCGTTATTACGGCCATATTCTTTCAAACCAAACGCAAAAACCATTGAGTCATTTTATTATTTTGAAGACCCCGTTAATGCGACCACCTCGTTATTACGACCAGGATTTTATGGCCCAGCGGTGGTCGCATTAACGGGGTTCCACTATATGTCCACGACGTCAACAGAAACTGAAAATATGTTCAGTATGGATAATGCCAAACCAGATCCCGCAAAGACTGATTTGTGTAAATAGTGACTACTTCCTTTTTGATCGTTTTAAATTTTTCTAGGAATTATTTCATTTTTGAATAACTAAGAACCTAAATTTTTCATTGCAATCATGTAATACCCGAACGAGTTTATAAGAGTCTGCGCCGACGTTGTATTGCTCGTACGTGTTTGCAAACAGATAATAGGATTACACTTAGCTAGGCCGTCTTCGAAGTTCTTCTGTTTAGGGAATGGCCATTAACACTAGACCTTGCTCACAATATTTCACATACTTAAGCTCCAGAACCTTAAATCATGAAAAAAAAGTTCAAAATATTTATTAAGAACAAAAGTTGAACTAGCCGAAGCCAAAGGTTACTCTTGAAGATCCAAATAATCATAAAATCGTGGTTCGGAGTCGTGGTAAGAAAGGCCATGCGTCATTAAAGCGGGGAGCCATATTTTCGTGAAACGAAAAGAGGAACAATATTTTAGTTTTTTAGTTAGAGCATTGTTGAAGTTGTTTCAACATACACTTGTAAGTTGAATTTCAAATGATTCAACGTAGATTCATAGCAAAAAGTGACCGTCTAGTCAACAAGAAAAAAGGGGTTAAATAATGTTTTTATAATAACATTTGGGTTTACGAAGCTGGCAGTGGCCTGTCACATCAGTATAAACCCATTAAACCTGGTTCAAAACACGGACAGCTGCCAGCTTTAATTCCACCGGATAAATCACTAACCTGGGGATACGTATTAGGGAAACCAGTTGCACTATCCACTGGATAGAGATTTATCCAGTGGATAGAGTTAATATAAACCTTTTGAGCTACTGAGCGCTGATCGCGCCGGGTGAAAGTGTATCTGATTTCTCCACTCTTGGGTTATCTAGCTTGGGAAGTTCGACATCGTACTGATTGGGAAAGGACACGTAAACAAGAGATTAATTCGTTCAGTTCCGCTTAAACAGATTAATCACTTAAAACCGATTAGGCGTCGTTTTAGCAGTAAAACGTGATGTATAATGAGCATAAAATGAGCATTCTTTTGGGTATAAACATTTTTTATTGCTTTGCAAGGCGTTAAGACGCGACAAGAATCGACACAAGTTAAACTGTAAGTGTAGATGAATGCCGCATTATCTTAGAACTTCGCTAGGGTACTGGCCATGTACCGCGGAGTGCTTTCTTAGTGTTTTGGTTTGGTGTATGTAGTTTGGTTCGTTTGTTTGTTTTTGTTTTCTTTACCTAGCTACAGTAACTCTACATAACAATAACTGAAGAAATTCTGACAGTAAGATACCTGAAAAAACGCATTACCACGGATGGACAATCGAATCTGGTGATAAAAAACACATTGACGTCTTTCGAAGACCTGTTCCTAAATATTTTTGCTATTTAAAAATTGCAGAGAATGGTTTTTATGACTCTGATATCAGTATTGCTTTAAACGTAATTGCAATTTAAGTGATATTGTCATCAGCTAGCTGTTTTTGTTGTCTTCCCATTTTAACTATTTTTTTTTTTTGAGGTCAACCCCATGGAAATCCGCACAACCACTGAAGATTTTGCTATTCCCACTGCCCAATATCACAAACGAACTTGCAGATTTAATTTCTATCCCAATTGAAAGTCCGCCGATTTGAATTCAAAATTTTTGTCCTACTTGATTACACATTGCCGAGGAATTTGTTGACGGCTGACCGTATACAAATGAAATACGGTAACTGACTATTTCAAAACCCCGAACCGCAATTCCTCGGACGCAACACTCCCTGGCAAAATATTATTTACGTCGAATCCGAGTAATGACAAAAAAATACATGATTTATCAACTTACCCACTTATTTGCCTTTCTCACTCCACTGAACTACTATTCATGTTGGGATTTTACATTGCAGGATCAACTCAGTGAAGTGAGCCTACGAGAAGATTTTATCACCTTGCTGTTCGATCGTTTTCAGCGGCAATCCATCATGGAAAAGAAACTGCTCGTCTTATTCTTGCTTGTCACCGGCTGGCTTTCAGTTTGCTGGGCTACTCGAGGAGGCTTTAGGATCTGCTTTAAAGAAACTGAACGCAGCTCACAGTGTCAGGGACCATCACACACGTGCAGTGGCTGGAGCTACAGTCCGGCATGGTCTCAACCATTTCGAGACGATACCGACAATAGAGGTGGAGGCTGCCACTACCAATGGAGAATTGAAGCACAGGGGACCATCGACCCGAAGATGGAGTATCGCCTCTGCTTTAGGGAGACAGAAGGGAGCTCACAGTGCCAAGGAATAAGGAGCTCGTGCACTGGCTGGACGCCCTGTCCTTCCTGGACCAGTCGGTTCAGAGATGACACCGACAACAGGGCTGGCGGATGTCGTTACGCTTGGAAACTCGAGTCACGTTCTCCTAAGCCGAAGAAGCCTATTCAGGTGTGTCGTGTATGCTTTAAGGAGGTTGAGGGAAGCTCTCAGTGTCAAGGAAAGCGCCAAAGCTGCAGCGGATGGAGTGCTCCAGGCGCGAATCCCTCATGGACCTTGCCTTTCCGTGATGATACTGACAACCGTAGTGGAGGTTGCATCTACCAGTGGTTTCTCGATTGTACCTCGATGATAACTGCCATCTTCTGTCCAAGAGATAGCCCATGTAACTAAAATACTACAAGAAAGATATACCTCTACGCCGACACCTGAATGGCGCTATGTGACTGATATCTAGTACCAGTTTAAAAAGCCAACGGCCAACGGCCCAATTCTTTGTTGAAGTCATTAAGTACTTAGTGCCTTTGCACATACACATCCACAAATTCTCGTGTAGAGTTTAAGAAGCAGATATCCAGCAATTTTACTGATCAGGGAGACTAACCATAATAACGCTTTAGGAGCGTAGCGTCCAAATACGTACAAACGCCCGTGCGTACAGCTGAAATCTGGAAATATATATATTTTTTAATTTCCTGAAAGCATTTTTATTATTAAATCGGGATGACTGATAAATCTGTCGCATTATATTGTTGTCTTTGACCGTCTGAAGTCTCGTCACTGTTTTACCCTTTCATTGCAGCTTACCGATAACACTAGAGATGTAAAATGATAAACAACGAATTATTGCGTTTTCCTTCGTATTTAAATACTGACAATGTCATGCGGAAAATGCATCCCTCTAGTTTGGCGTACCTTCGGCGGTCTTAACCTTTCTTTCCGTGCGTACACCTTCAAAATCTTACGCTACGCCCCTGGGTGATTTTTTAATAAAGTTGGTCCAATTTTGTTTCAATTCTATCCATGTCCATCCTTGCCATCCGCAGTAACAGACCCCAGGAAACAGTTCAAGAGTCTTCAAAGACAAAACTGCACCATCAAATTTGGATTATTAGCAAAAAGCGTGACATAGCCCCTTTAAGCATGACTGAACCGTAAAGATAACTAAAGTAACTGGCTATGGAGTAAAACCAACCAAACGTTTTAAATAAGTCACGGTCTTATGGTTGTAGAATGATATTTATCACGCAAATACCCTATACAGGAAGACATACACGAAGACAACATTTTGATCGCTTTTAACTGAGGTTAAAAGTTTTCAGCTCCAATCGAGCTATGATTGCGTTTGACGTCTTTATATAATTAAGCCTTAAGCAATTTAAGCTTAAAAATATTTATCTAAGCTGTACAAAAATAAGTTTATCGTAAGTGTCAATTTACGAGAGCGTGCGAGCGGGCAGCAAAGAAGGTTTAAAGTGCCGTCTAAAATTACTAGTGATTTGTGCGCCTCAGGAAATTAACTGTGTATTTAACTGATATGTTATATAAGCATGTTTGTAAGAGCAAGTACTTGACGGCGTAAGGGGTGTATGAAATGTCACGTTTGGATCTTTAAAGATGTCTCGGCGGACATTTAATGGAATAACGCAAGTTAACCAGTTTTTGAGTAATTTATAGAACAAGGCGGATAATAATATGACGACGCAAGTGCTGTGGCCGGAGTGGGGTTGGGGTGAACTATACTTGATATACGCTACAAAAATGTGCCGTTTCATTGGGTCCCATGGATACTCAATCTTTTCCCTTCTATAATGGGTTTTCAGATTTGGGGTGAGTGGGTGTAACTCTCCCGTGTCCGATGGATTTTTCTATTCAAATCGTTGTAACTGTTGCAACTGTGCGAAAATATAGCAAATGTGGTTTAAGCAATGAAATAATGAAGAGAAATACTGAGTGAGACTGATAAAAGCATACTTAAGACCTCCGATCTGAGATGAGTTCTATAATTTTATAATTGTTAATTCTGTGATGGGTTTAGGGATTCCAAGACCCCAGCAAAAGACTTCCACTCAATTTCTGGACTGCTCCTCAGTCCCTTGGAACGAGAATTTTTTGTTTTTACAAGATTCCTAAAATTTTGCACTGAACGAATTCCCACAGAAAAAAAGAAAAAAAATTAAATTGTTTGAACCTCGGCTTATTGCTTCATAAACGAGCTTATATCACGACTTCAAGCCACCAGTCAGCACCCTCAACGGGAAAAACGTTATGTCGTTCCTGTGCTGAATGACTTTTAACTGGGGAGTAAGCGCAAACAAGAGATTTACAATCATCTCGAGGGTTGCTTGGTGACATGTTACTGTAACTATAACAGCAAATAAACATGAATGAATGAAACTGCTCGAAGCAGGTCTAACCTATCAGCAATTTTGAATCGGTTTTAATCTTATTGCGCCATTTCCAGAGTTTATATGCAGGTACATGCTTATACTCATGAGTGGCGTTTTCAAAACGCCTAATGCCTAACCAGGTCTAACCATTGAAGTTTAGCAAAACCTTGATTCGGTTTTTAGAGCACTGATTAGAAGTAGTGTTCCGTTACCCTTCGCAAACGCCCATACATATTAGCTAAGGAACCATTTCCTCTGGACGTGCTCTGGTTATATCTGGTGTTACTAGTACGTGAACCGGGGGTATTAGTAGTGCATTGTTGACGTGATGTAACTGATGTAATTGGTAGCTGCCGCCGGGTTGTTTTGTTCCTTCATCGCTTAAGGAAGTAAACACGAACTGAAATTCTACGAGGCAAAACACGTGACAAAATTGGGCAAAAGTAAAACGAGGGAAAGAAACAGTAATAAAAAAGTATTTAATCAAAAACAAGAGAAAGTCCATAAAAGTAATAAAGATAAGTTAATACCATTCGCGCATTAAGAAATTAAAAAGCGTTAAGCTATGTTCAGTAGAGTGTTTGCTTTCCAAAAACCATTTTGTGAGATCAGAATCACCCGCCCCTTTTTAAAGAACGTTTTTTAAGTCGCTTGTAAATGATCCGCGGAGATTGGTCTGCAATCAGGCGTTTTATTTGGATGAACAAGCTTGAAAAGTCTTGGCTTGTATTCACGATTTGTATATATTGTTTTCAGGATTCAGAAACTTCATTTAACTACTCAGTATGTATATGTGGTGTAGCTGTAACTGTACTGCAATGTAATCGAACTTGCATATTTCTTATAACGGTAGAGTAAGTGTCTGACTACAGTAAAACCAGAACTAAACTAAAACTTCCCGGGTAAGCCTTGTGCTCCTCCTCTGTTTAAGGAAGGGAACAGATCAGAACAAAACTGTCAGTAAAATGTTTCAAGATACAATGTACCTGAGAAAGCGATCGCTAACAACTAAAAGTTTTTTTAAACGGTTTCAGCAATCAAGACGGAAACCGTGCTGCTATATGAAAGGAGTGCGTGGCACAGTAAAACCGTCAGTTCTTGGGGAACTCTTTATGTCCTTTACACCGTACTCCAAAACCTTAAATCGTGAAAAAAATATATATTTATCAAGTAACAATAGTTGAACTAGCCGAAGCCAAAGGTTACTCTTGAAGGTCAAAAGAATCGTACAATCGTGGTTCGAAGACGTGGTAAGAAAGGGAAATGCGTCATAAGCGAAGAGCCACATTTTCGTGAAACGAAAAGAGCAACAATATTTTAGTTTTTTTAGTTAGAGCATTGTTGAAGTCGTTTCAACAGAACTTGTAAGTTGAATTTCAAATGATTCAAAGTAGATTCATGGCAAAATTTGCCAAACGAAAGGCAAACAGGCTATAAAGTGACCGTCTAGTCAACAAGAAAAAACTATCGGTAGGGGTTCAATAATGTTTCTAAAATAACATTTGGGTTTTCGAAGATAGCAGTGGCCTGTCACATCAGTATGAACCCATTAAACCTTCTTCAAAACCTGAACAGGTGCCTGCCTGCATAGCGTCATTTCACCAGATAAATCACTATCCAGGGGATACCTATTAAGGAAACCAGTTGCACAATCCACTGGATAGATATTTATCCAGTGAATAGCGATATAAACCTTTTCAGCAACTCAGCACTGATCGCGCCGGGTGAAAGTGTATCTTATCTCTCCACTTTTGGGTCATCTGGCTTGGGAAGTTCGAAATTCGTACTGAATGTTAGGGACGCGTAAACGAGAGATGAATTCGTTCAGTTCCGCTTAAACAGATTTATCGCTGAAAACCGATTAGGCGTCGTTTTTGCAGTAAAACCTGATGTATAATAAAATGATCAGTCTGTTGGGGACCGTGTAATCACTTTTTATCGCTTTGCAAGGCGTTAACATGCGAGAAGAATCGAAACAAGCTAAACTGTAATTGCACTTGAATGAATTAGCTTAGAACTTGGCTAAGGTACTGGCCATACCGCAAAGTTAATTTGTGAGTGCTTCCTTTGTGTTTTGGTTTGGTGTAGTTTGGATCGTTTGTTTTGTTTTCTTTGTTTTTTTTTCTTTACACAGCTACCGCAACTCTCCATAACAATGACTGAAGACGTTTTGACAGTAAGATATCCGAAAAAACCTATAACCACGGATGGACAATCCAATCTAGTAATAGTCTAGACGCCTCCCACACAGACGCTTTAAGTGGAGCTCAACTTTCATTCCTCCCCTAAAAAATTTATGTCAAGGTATGGTAATCACATGATAACTCGCTAGGTCAGGCTGCACCAGGTACTGCAAATCTAGCCAATGAGGTTATAGGGCGGTGTCATGCTTAAGTAAGTATATTGAGCCATCACTTTACTAGTGCAGTCCATTCCAGTCCAGTCTGCGAAATACAGTGTGCCTTCTCTCCCTCGTCATCAACTTGGTTGAATCTCGAGCAAAATCTTTTCAGGCAAGTGATTCCTTTTGATTATATTCTCTTTTATTTTTTCCTCTTGCCACCAATCCGTGTTTTTATTCTTGGCCACTCTTTCATTCGCCGTGTGCACGATTTTCTTCGCCGCAATTTTAATAAGCACATTGCAGAAATTTAAGTTTAGATGGCGATCTGCTCATAAGATGGCATGGGATTGAAGGTAGAACGCTTTCTAAAACTAGCGAGAGTAGTTATAAAATGATGCTTTCCAGACCAACTAAAACTACTTTTTCCCGATTATTCTCGTTATTTCCCTTGTCATCTGTCATAAAAAATTTTCCTGTTTAATTTCTGTTATTATTTTCGTACTAAAATCCCAATTTTCATTTTAAAAAAAAAAATTAAAACAGAAATTAATCAGAAAAGTTATGCCCTACTAAAATATTAAACTAAGTAGTGGAACAATAATTTTTACGATTAATTTCTGTTTTAAAAAAATATATTTTAAAATTAAAATTTCAATTTCATCAGGAAAACAATGAAAAAATTACAAAAAAAATTGATATAACACATAACAGAAAAATAACAAAAATAATCGGGAAATGGTACTTTTGAGTTTATCTGGAAAGTATCATGTTATAACTTCTCCTACAAATATACGATAATTTACATAACAGTTTAAACAGCTGTCTGTTTTGACAGAGTTGGGAATATTTAAATCACTTGTAGAAATATTTGAACCAATTCACTTTTTTTTACACAAACACAACCACAAATGTGTAAACAGAAAAATTACACAAATGAGTATACTTCTAAAGTGAGGATTGTGATTGGCTGTCAAAGTTTCTTAATATTTACTTGGTTCGGAAAAAGTAAAATTGATTTTTAAAATTAAAAGCTTAAAGAAAAGAAATCATTCAACAAAGTGAGTTTATCACGGACATTTTCATCAGCATCATCCGACAGTGATTACGAAGACGATTGTTTTTATCTGATTCGAAAATCACAAGGAGATTATAGAGATGAACCATTCTATTACGATGGTATTTCTGATGAAGAACTTCATCATCGTTTAAACATAGAGTTTGAGGAAAAGGTTAATTGGGAAAGATATGATATTGGTTTTTGCAAGGAAGACATTAATTTTGTTCCAAAGAAATATATCGAACTTAAACCATGGAGTGTGCTCGACTCAATGATTAAAATTTTTGAAAGGCAAAAATCGTTTGATAAAAAGCATAAATAGTTGTTAACACCAAATCAACATAAATTCAGTTGTGTTCTTCATGGTTAACCGTACAGTAAATATTTTCATGAAAGAGATTATTACTAGCCCTTCGGGGCTGCTTTTATGTCGCTCCAAACAGTTTTTTATCATTATGATACAAAACTTTTTATTCTTTTCTAGTAAATTAGGGTCGATGTAAAACTTTTCTCAATTTTAAGAGTTAAATTTGGATTGGAATAGGACAAAGCAAAAGATTATTTCATACATAGGTTTGTATTTGAAGCAATAAAAGGTGTTATCCCCGATGGTTTTGAGATAAAAGATACAAATTAATGCTGTTAAAAATGACAACAGACTAAGTAATCTTGAATTAGTCACTCACAAAACAAAATATTGAATTAGCTCTAAACTAGGAGTAATTGGAGCTTAGGAGAGTGCGTTCGATATGTTTGCTAGGCGTACAGGTAGCAGTTTAGGGGAAAGGGTGGATGGTTCTGGTGCGATAGATAACTATGATTATGGGATATTTTGAACGTAAGGGTTGCGTACAGCGAAACCTCGATTTAAACTGTTTATGATAATGAAAAGGTTTTGAAGGCTAGTAAACAGCGTGATATCGTATGGTTCGTCTGAAGTGTTTGCCTGATTTGAGAAGACACTGGCCAGAGTGCTTCGGGCGTGTAAAAAGAACTTTTTGTTTTACTGGCACAATAGATGTTCTACAGGGCGCAGTTGTTCGGAGGCCAATCAGCGCTTAACCTGGGTTTCTTTTCTTTTGTTCTGTTTTGCTAGCTATTAAAGAGGAATGGTTTTGTGCACTTGATAAAAAAAGACTCTTAAGAAAAAAATAAATGTAGGAAATTGGTTTTTAGCAGGGCTGTCTACCATATCAAACTGTCTTTGGTTGAGAGCTGAAATTCATGTCTCTCATCTGGGAGAACAATGCAATATTTTCCCCCCACTGCTTTACTCTTCGAAAGCGTCCGTAACCCTGAAGAAGACCACAACTTAAAGCCTTTAAAAACAAACATCTTGCTCGATGATGCCTTTGATTTTTAAATCAGTATTGCAATATCGGGGGAAATCGTCCCTGGCCACTTTCTTGTCACGCTGATCAGACTCGCATTTCTGTTCACCAATTCAATGTCGCACCTCAGCAGTGCTTATCTTACTGTGGTCTGGACAGTTGTCGGTATAAGATTTGGGACACGTAGATATATTTTTTAGCAACTAATATAATTTGCAGTCTGTCTACTTTGAATTGAATAACTTTCGCATTGGGGGCGCGTGCCATGCCGCTTAAAAAGGTTATTCTGATGCGCAAATTCGAGCTCCGGGTCGCTGGAAATCAAAGGCAATTAAAGTTTGTTTGAAGTCGGAAGTTCTCCACGCTAATTTTAAAATTGATTTGCCCACGTGTTGAAAGTACATCAGGCAATTCGGCTGCTACTTGGTGGGCTTAAAAAACCATTTTTAGGTCAAGATAAGGTACTCACATGATAACTCGCTAGGTCAGGCTAGCTGTACCAGGTACTGCAAATATAGAAAATGGGGTTAGAGGGCGGTGTCATGGTTAAGTAAGTATATTCAGCATATTGTGGTATTTAGCCAATAATTCTCCCTTCTCTCCCTCGTCATCAACTCGGTCAGATCTCGAGCAAAATATTTCAATCCTCCTCCCCTTTCACCTGCCTGCGGGTTTTTTATTATTGTTAAAGGTATTTTATATTTCTTCTTTTTTTCATTTTCCTATTCAGCTGTGTACGACACAGATTTTATCAACTTGCTGTTCGATCGTTTTCCGTCATGCTGATCATGGAAAAGAAATTGTTCACCTTAATCTTGCTAATCATCGGCTGCCCTTCAGTTTGCTGGACTAGTCAAGGGGGTTTTAGGATCTGCTTTAAAGAAACTGAACGCAGCTCTCAGTGTCAGGGACCGTCGTACACGTGCAGTGGCTGGAGCAACAGTCCTGCATGGTCTGAATCATTTCGAGACGACACCGACAATAGAGGTGGAGGCTGCTACTACCAATGGAGAATTGAAGCACAGGGGACGATCGACCCGGAGATGGAGTACCGTCTCTGCTTTAGGGAGACAGAAGGGAGCTCACAGTGCCAAGGAACCAGGAATTCGTGCACTGGTTGGACCCCCAGTCCGTCCTAGACCGACCGCTTCCGAGATGACACCGACAACAGAGGCGGGGGATGTCGTTACGCTTGGAAGATCGAGTCACGTTCTCCTCCGCCGAGGGAGCCCATTCAGGTGTGTCGCGTATGCTTTAAGGAAGTCGAGGGCAGCTCTCAGTGTCAAGGAAATCGTCAAAGTTGCAGTGGATGGAGTGCTCCAGGCATGGATCCCTCGTGGACCTCGCCTTTCCGTGATGATACCGACAACCGTTGCGGAGGTTGCATTTACCAATGGTTTCTCGATTGTACTTCGATCACAATTTCTGGATCCTGTCCAGGAGATCACCCATGTGATTGAATTCCTACAAGAAACAACTTTCTTTTCGTCGACATCTGCAAAGGCCTGTGTGACCGATATTTTTCGTACCACGGTCTGAAAAGCCAACGGCTAGATATATATTTTGGTTCGAAATGCCAGTTTAGTTTAGCTCATTTTCGCCCTTTCGAAGATTAAAACTTGCGCGATTTCCTGATGTAGATTGTTATTAAATTTAAAACAGAAAAAAAGGTTGAAATCATCCTTAGTTTGGGATTTGTTGAGAGTATGTAAATGCAATGCTGTCAGCTTGCAAATTAATGAGGGGTAAATAAATATTTCAAACCTACAGCAATACTTTAACAGTAATGTCTTTTTTTTTCAAATTGCATAGCCTTAGATGTAATACATTAAATTTTAAAGGGGATATGACAAGAGGAAAAGGTCAGTTCTTTGTTGAAGCTTTACCTGGTGCCTTTACTCCCATTAACTAAGTGCTCCTGTCGAGTCAAGCAAACATGTTTCATCAGGGAGCACTAACCACTTGAACAAAGCGTTCATGAGCTTTGAAGGCACAGCAATTAAAAACTCGAAAAAGCTGGCCAAATTTTGTTCACGTTTCAATCCACTTCCATCCTTGCAATAAGAAACAGACCTAAGGAAAAAATTTTCAATGCCTTAATAAAGTCCTCAAAAACAAAACTGGGCCATAATTATTTCTTCTCATCCTTCAGTTTTCTTCTTAGTTGCTTTTTTTAACAAAACAAAACTCCTCTCATAGGATAATTATTTTTGGAATTTAATTTGTGCGTTGACACGTTTTTAGGAAATAGCGTGACATAACCCCTTTAAGCATGAATGAGCTAAAAGCCATTAACTACACCATTACGCTTCTAGCCTGCGTACTGCCGCCCCTCGCCCTACGGGCAATAATCCATTACTGCTGCTATGTCGGTGGTTTCGAAAAAAATATTTAATTGTATTGAAAATCAACATGGCACCCTTGTCACGTGGCGGAAAACCAAGAATTGATCACACTGACAGAAATTACACAAAGGTCGGCAATTTAAGAACACGTTGCGCTTTTTTTTTGATCACGTGATGTGGCTAAGATGGACGGACGTGTGTTTGAGTGCTCCGCGTGACATTTCGTAAATTTCTGATGTTCAAGTGTTGAGACCTTCTGCTTTCTTCTATTTGTTTCGTTATCTTGTTTCGTGTGTTATATTATGCCTGAGTCTATTGCCAACTTAAGAAGAGAAAATAACGATCTCAAATCTAAAGTTTCAACATTAACGTCTTATTAAGTTATTTAATACTTTAGGTTAGCCTCTCTTCGTAATCGTTATGTAGTTGCCTTGTTTTATGTTAGTTTAAATTCTATTTACTGTATACTAGTGTCTTCACTGTTACTTAGTCCATCTATACATAAAAGACACCGTTATGACGACATCATGATGGGATTTTATGGCAAGGCATTTGATAATGGTTTGCAGGCCAAGGCGGCAGGTTCCAAGCCTACCTTATTTCCAGCCAATCAGAATTTAGGGTGTTACGGACTATATCGTTCTTAGGGGCGCTTTTCTATGTGCTTGCCCCCTTTCGATCGCTCACCATCACGTTGTTCACATCGCTGGTTTGAACCAATTTTCAGCATTTTTTAGGCAAGTACCCTCTTTTCCTTTTATCTTTCCTGTTATTCAATGGCTGAACCCCGTGTTTTAGGTCTGGGCGATTCTTTTATTCGCCGTTTGCGCCTTTTCCTGTCCCGCGATTCTTACCATTTTAGTGTTGATTTCAAGTTATCTCACCGTGCCTTTATAAAATGGCACGGAGTCGGTGGCCGTACGGTTTCCAAAACGCTACATCTTGACTTGAATAGTAGTTATGAAAATGGGTAGTCTCGCTCAGCCTGTTATTATTTCTGGCTCAACTCAAAAACAATCAAAAATCCCAGAATATGCAAAAGACTTTAAAAATGAATGGCTTTATATAAGAGGTATTAATAGAAAGTGTGGAGAGTTTATGAAAAAGCTTGGAGACAATACTGATTCTTTTGAAAAAGTTTTTTGGTCTTCAAGAGCAAAAGCACTTGTTAGAGATTTTAAAAATGTTTTGGAGGCTCAAAAAATGGGGAAACTTAAAAATATTAGTGATTTTTATTTTAAATATTTTGATGCTAATAACATAGAATGTTTAGAAGAACAACTTGATTATTATAGAGATTTATATGTAGATCCAAATAGTTATGAGTTTGATGAGGAATCTTATGAATTAAATATAGATATTGACTATCCAGGTTTTAGAGAGCTTTTTAAATTGGTTTGTTTATTTAATGATAAAATAAAAAAAGAAGAAACTATTTTTGAAAGTGAAAGTGAAAGTGATAGTGAAAGTGATTAAAAAAAAAATATCTAAATAAATAATAAAATGTATTGTCGTTGCAATAACGAGTTTGACTGGTTGATGGAAATGATTAAAAAAGGTAATTCTTTTATTAATTTGGAAAATGTTGCTGAATTTATAGATAATGATTTAATAGAATTGCGTTATATGAAAAAACGATTTGGTTACTTATTTTATGATGAATGGAAATATATCAAAAAAATTAATGGACGTAATGCTATTTTTGTTAATAAAGAGGATCAATTTGTTTGTCGTAATCCTGACGAACCAACTTTTCATGGAATTAATGAAAACGAACCAATTTTAAATATAGATGGATCAATTAATGAAAAGCACTATCTTAATACTACCATTCCTATGGAAGACACAGAGCGTTATGAGATTAAGTTTTTGGATGAAATAGATAGAGGAGATCCTTTTATTACAGAAGAAGAAAAAGACCAAAATGAAGATGTAAAGAAAACTAAAAATATTCTTAAAAAGATTAAGTTGGTGAAACCTGAAATATTTAACAGTGATGAATTTTATGAAGTGTTAAATTCAGAAGAGATTGATAACATCGAACTTGAGAAAGATAGAGAAAAGTTTTATGAACAAGTAAGGGAAATTGTATTATGCGAAAAAATTTAAAATGGTAAGATTAATATTATTTGAGTGTATTTAGGGAATTTTTCAAACAAGAATAATCTAATTAAAATAATAAAAATGGAACCAAGATCAAGAGAAACTACTCCTACAAAAGAGGATTTGGAATTTATAGTTGACGATGGTTATAGACATATGAGGATCCAGATTATATTCCAAACGAAAAATTTATTCTTAAAGGACCAGAGTTTAAGAGATTAACCAGAAATGCTAAAAAAAACTTGATGCAGAAACAATTGATTATTCAACCCGAAAAATAAAATTGATTTATGGCTTAAAGATTATCTAAATATAAATAAAATGCAGTTAACAGCTTACGAAAATCTTACTCCAGAGAATATTATATTTAATGAAGCCAAAGAGTACAAAGTCAAAGATAGCAAGATTAAATACAAACGTATTCCAATTGAAGTCAAATATCCAAATAACAAAAAAGGACCACTTGTAGTTGAATCTCCAGTTCTTTTTAGTTTCACAGGAAAAAATAACGGGTTCCCATTTTTGGATATTTTTGGGTATTTTAAGAATACCCACAAAAATCCCAAATTTGGCAAAGTGAGACAAGTCCCAACCAGGGAATTCCCAACCAAGTTCCCAGATTGGGACTTGTCTCACTCTACCAAATTTGGGATTTTTGTGGGTATTTTTTAAATACCCAAAAATATCCAAAAATGGGAATC